GCAGCAGCAGCAGCAGCAGCAGCAGCAGCAGCAGCAGCAGCAGCAGCAGCAGCAGCAGCAGCAAGAGCAGGAGAGGTGTCTCGTCGTGCAGTAAGTAGATGGATTGTTGTGGCTACTTCACAAAATAGCAGCAACAGCAACAGCAGCAGCAGCAGCAGCAGCAACAGCAGCACCACCAAGCAACAACAGCAACAACAACAGCAGCACCAGCAGCAGCAGCAGAAGCAACAGCAGCAACACCACCAAGCAACAACAGCAGCAACAACAACAACAACAGCAGCAGCAGCAACAGCAGCACCACCACAAAGCAACAACAGCAGCAACAACAACAACAGCAGCAGAAGCAACAGCAGCAGCACCACCAAGCAACAACAGCAGCAACAACAGCAGCAGCAGCAGCAGCAGCAGCAGCAGCAGCAGCAGCAGCAGCAGCAGCAGCAGCAGCAGGAGGAGGACTGGTGTGCCTAAACATACCATCAATAAGCCCCATTTGTATAAGTAAATCAGCATATTTATAAATAAAGAGAGGCTCCATATAAAAACGAATATAAGCTTTATATAAAACAGCTAGCGCATGCATGCGGCTGCCGCAGAGCAACCACTCTCTCTCTGCTTGTACTATAAACACCACCCAACATAAACCCTCTAACTCAGATAACTCCTTAAAACAATTACGCCACACAGATATACCCTATACACAATACACAATACATAACAAACCCTAAACCCTAAACCCTAAACCCTAAACCCTTATTTTTACACACAAAAAATTCCAAACAAATTGACCCCAGATAACCCTCACTAACCCTAAACCCTAAACCCTAAACCCTAATTTCAGAAACAAAATACATTCCATACAAATCATACAACTCATAAAACCCTCACAAACCCTAAACCCTAAACCCTAAACCCCATTAACAAACTCCCCCAATAACCCCTCCAAACCCTAAACCCTAAACCCTAAACCCTAAACCCTAAACCCTAAACCCTTACATAAGATCTGCGTATGAAGTCAAGATATTTAGTGATAAGAACAGGGCATCCCTGTGTTGTTTGTGTCCCCTGGGGGCCCCCAGCAGGGGCCCCCTGGGCCCCCCCCCCGGGGACCCCCCCCTGGGCCCCGGGGCCCCCGGGGGCCCCCANGGCCCCCGGGGGCCCCCAGGGCCCCCGGGGCCCCTGGGGGCCCCGGGGGCCCCGGGGGGCCCCCAGCCTGCGGAGAGTGTAATAGTAATGTTGTTAGTGCGTTGCGGTATACTGCATCTGCTGCTTTGATCATTCTGCGGTCCTCAAAGAAATCGGCTAAGATGATTTGTAATAACTCTGAACGTAAACCCTAAACCCTAAACCCTAAACCCTAAACCCTAAACCCTAAAATTTTTTTTTATTAAATATTAAATAGGAAATAGGAAATAGGAAATAGGAAATATTAGAGGTGGGGGAGGTATTAGGGTATATATATAATGTAAATATAAACAAAAATATAATATATAGTAATACCAAACCCTAAACCCTAAACCCTAAACCCTAAACCCTAAATTGGCAACAGCCACAGAAGAAAACAAAAAACCAAAATACAAAACGTTAAACAACAAAACAACAAAAGAATATACAAACCCTAAACCCTAAACCCTAAACCCTAAACCCTAAACCCTCGCTTACCATCGCCAGGAAGGAACCTATCAATTGCACGACGCAAAACCTCGCAAGCTAAGCACAACACAACAAACCCTAAACCCTAAACCCTAAACCCTAAACCCTAACCCGTAGACCCTCCACCACAGCCTCCAAACCCTACACCCACCACCCCTGCCTCTAAACCCTAAACCCTAAACCCTAAACCCTAAACCCTCGAATATATATATATACCTCTTGTCGGCATTTTACTAGCGAGAAGAAACTGAAAGAAACTAAACCCTAAACCCTAAACCCTAAACCCCCAACCCTAAACCCTGAACCCTAAACCCTAAACCCTAGACAAAATACCTTTGGTTGGCATCTGATTAGCGAGAAGAAACTGAAAAAAACTGAACTCTAAACCCTAAACCCTAGACCCCAAACCCTAAACCCTAAACCCCAACCCCCAAACCCTAAACCCTAAACCCTAAACCCTAAACCCTCAAAAATATAAATACCTTTCGTTGGCATCTGATTAGCGAGAAGAAACTGAAAAAACCTGAACCCTAAACCCTATACCCTAAACCCTAGACCCCAAACCCTAAACCCTAAACCCTAAACCCTAAACCCTAAACCCTAAACCCTCGAAAATACCTTTGGTTGGCATCTGATTAGCGAGAAGAAACTGAAAAAAACTAAACCCTAAACCCTAAACCCCAAACCCTAAACCCTAAACCCTACATCCCAACCCTAAACCCTAAACCCTAAACCCTCAAAAATATAAATACCTTTAGTTGGCATCTGATTAGCGAGAAGAAACTGAAAAAAACTGAACCAAATATCGGCAACCCTAAACCCTACACCCCAACCCTAAACCCTAAACCCTAAACCCTAAACCCTAAACCCTAAACCCTAGACAAAATACCTTTGGTTGGCATCTGATTAGCGAGAAGAAACTGAAAAAAACTAAACCAAATATCGGCAACAAAAGCACAAGAAAGAAGAGAGGTTTGGTAGGCTTGTATAACCCTATTTATAAACTCAATAGAACATAAAAAGAGAGGGTTTGTCTTTTCATATAATATTATATTTCTCCATGCTGATGCATGCACCTATATACACACACAAACCCTAAACCCTCACAAACCCTAAACCCTAAACCCTAAACCCTTGAAAATAAGTTTAGTTGGCACAAGAAAATATAATAAACCCTAAACCCTAACATTTCAAACATAAACCCTAAACCCTAATCAATAATATTATAAACCCTTATCCATACTGTAAACAATATACATTAATTAATAACACAAGCCCTCAGCAACAATATAAACCCTCACAAACCCTAAACCCTAAACCCTAAACCCTAAAAACTCTTATACCCAGCTAGTCTGCAACAGAAAAACCCTGCCTAAACCCTAAACCCTAAACCCCAAACACTAAACCCTAAACCCTAAACCCTAAACCCTAAACCCTAAACCCCAAACCCTAAACCCTAAACCCCAAACC